TGTGTGTGTGTGTGTGTGTGTGTGTGTGTGTGTGTGTGTGTGAATATTTATAAAATTGTTTTTTCAATTTAATTATTGTAATTTAAAATTATTATTTGTAATAACAATATTTTAATGTATTTACTTACCTTTTCTTTATATTGTACTGTGATGTTCAAAAAGATCAATAAATATCATAATACCTTCTATTAGGTTTACTTTTAAACTGAGCTATAGGTGGGCAGATTTTGATAAACGATCTGACTAGTCTTGTTATTTCGAATATCAGACTTACTTTCAATCTATTTGTACTATATTCTGGCAAAGTTCTTTGAAGTCGCTCGTTTTCTTCATCTTGCCTATATTCAGAATGTGAATCTATTTCTACAGATCCTTCAGCTTTATTTGTATTTAACTGATATTCCGTGTCATCCGCTTCACTGCAAACTGGCGAATAATCGACAGAATCTGAATACACTTTGGTTTAGTTGCCTAACGATCGAGGACTAGAACATGGTGATGCCCAAGACAAAGCTGCATAATCGCTACCTGTACTTGAACATGGACTAAGACATCTATCATCCTTTGTAACAACTGTAAAATAGGCAAGTTTCTTGTCGGTAGAAACGGGATTTTGACCACTGTCTTCATCTTCATCGTCATCGTAATCAATGTCATCAACATCATCATCATTGTCTTCATCATCTTCACTGGGATACCCTAATCGTTTTGAAGCAGGAGTACCATGCGACATAGGACAATCAAAATTCCTCAAATCTAAAATCTCCAGACAACAAGAACACAATTTCCGTTTCACAGAAAACGACCCTTCAGGATATAGTTCGGCATAATCAAAGGTCAATTTCCATTTCAACACAATATTAAAATCATGAGTATTCATAATAACTGTGTTGTCTACGACCCATTCCAACTTTTTTATTACGACATCCAAAATATTGCATTGCAACTGCTCCTGGACAAGATACTCCGCATACTGACATTTATTTAGGGTGTTAACCAATAGAACACAGCATTCAAGCTCTAAATCTGTGGGCTTGTTCAATTTTTCAAGAGCCTGAATTAGTATGGAGATAGTTTTTCCACATTGCTGAGCAGTTTTATTCGCTGGATGATCAAGGAGGTAGCATAAGCATTTGATATAATCTAGACATTCAGTTTTAAAACCTTCTGTATCCATATTTTTGACAACTGCGTCAATAAATTTATTACAAATGTCTAGTACAGGTAAATCTGAATTCAACTTGCTAATAGTGATGAAATTCATAATAATTTTTATGATCGATATCGGACATAGTAGCAAAACGTTAACAAGTTCTTTTAAAGCGTTTCCGTTAGTAGTAGATTTTAATTTTGTTACATGGAATAATTCTTTAAAACTGAAAATTGGTAAATTATTGTTATTAAAGCATTCAAAACAGTTTCATTTGTTTGGCTTTCTTGCCATTCTTGACTAGATTTTATGAAAAGAGAACCAATTGTATTTAAAACTGGAAACGTCTTGAGGAGCTGTTCTTTATTAGTTAAATATTTTAAAATTCTGAGCGCCATCAGGATAGTACCTTCAGAAGGATTTTCTTTTAATTCGGTATTTTTACTGGCTCTAGATAATGCTTTTATTTTCTTTTAATTCGGTATTTTTACTGGCTCTAGATAATGCTTTTAACAAATGGGTGATAATCTGTGGCTTTCTACTAATGATTATATCAGCCCAACCTTCCTTATGCTGACATAAATTTCCCAGCACTCTGAAAACTCTCCCATTTATGCTGTCTTCTTTCGGATAACATTTTAACACATAGTTAAGAGTTGACAATGCATTATGGGTCCGATACATTGCTCTTGAACAGGTCCTCTCCATAGCACAATTCCCTAAAATGCTAAGACACTTGTCGATAATATGCTTGCCTTGTTTTGTTTCCAAGATATTCAACAACTGATGCAGTAGCCTGTATCTCGTAATACATTAATGTTGCTACTGTGTTTTGGCCAATCGGTTGAACTCTTTTTAAATGTTTTAGTATTCATCTGAAATTATTTTGAAAAATGGGCTTCGTGGACAAAAATATTGTGTTGATATCCTTATGATGATCCTGAAAAACGTAAAAAAAATATCGTAGCCAAATATTTATATTTTAAGGTGAAGGGTGAGAAAAAGTCCTTTATATCTCACAAGGAAAGTCAATGTTTAATTGTTTAACAAAACATTGAGTGCGACCGGTTTCGAAGTGTCATCACTTCATCTTCAGGCTCGCCATACTCTCCATCCACTAGGGAATGGATGGAGAGTATGGCGAGCCTGAAGATGAAGTGATGACACTTCGAAACCGGTCGCACTCAATGTTTTGTTAAACAATTAAACATTGACTTTCCTTGTGAGATATAAAGGACTTTTTCTCACCCTTCACCTTAAAATTACCTCAACTCACACATGGCTACCCCCCTTGTCAATTTATATTTTATACAATAACGTAGATAATATAACGAAAAATTTTCATTTTATCAGCTTTTATTTACTTTACAAATTTAATTGTGCTATGGAGAGGACCTGTTCAAGGGCAATGTATCGGACCCATAATGCATTGTCAACTCTTAACCATGTGTTAAAATGTTATCCGAAAGAAGACAGCATAAATGGGAGAGTTTTCAGAGTGCTGGGAAATTTATGTCAGCATAAGAAAGGTTGGGCTGATATAATCATTAGTAGAAAGCCACAGATTATCACCCATTTGTTAAAAGTATTATCTAGAGCCAGTAAAAATACCGAATTAAAAGAAAATCATTCTGAAGGTACTATCCTGATGACGCTCATAATTTTAAAATATTTAACTAATAAAGAACAGCTCCTCAAGACGTTTCCAGTTTTAAATACAATTGGTTCTCTTTTCATAAAATCTAGTCAAGAATGGCAAGAAAGCCAAACAAATGAAACTGTTTTGAATGCTTTAATAACAATAATTTACCAATTTTCAGTTTTAAAGAATTATTCCATGGTAACAAAATTAAAATCTACTACTAACGGAAACGCTTTAAAAGAACTTGTTAACGTTTTGCTACTATGTCCGATATCGATCATAAAAATTATTATGAATTTCATCACTATTAGCAAGTTGAATTCAGATTTACCTGTACTAGACATTTGTAATAAATTTATTGACGCAGTTGTCAAAAATATGGATACAGAAGGTTTTAAAACTGAATGTCTAGATTATATCAAATGCTTATGCTACCTCCTTGATCATCCAGCGAATAAAACTGCTCAGCAATGTGGAAAAACTATCTCCATACTAATTCAGGCTCTTGAAAAATTGAACAAGCCCACAGATTTAGAGCTTGAATGCTGTGTTCTATTGGTTAACACCCTAAATAAATGTCAGTATGCGGAGTATCTTGTCCAGGAGCAGTTGCAATGCAATATTTTGGATGTCGTAATAAAAAAGTTGGAATGGGTCGTAGACAACACAGTTATTATGAATACTCATGATTTTAATATTGTGTTGAAATGGAAATTGACCTTTGATTATGCCGAACTATATCCTGAAGGGTCGTTTTCTGTGAAACGGAAATTGTGTTCTTGTTGTCTGGAGATTTTAGATTTGAGGAATTTTGATTGTCCTATGTCGCATGGTACTCCTGCTTCAAAACGATTAGGGTATCCCAGTGAAGATGATGAAGACAATGATGATGATGTTGATGACATTGATTACGATGACGATGAAGATGAAGACAGTGGTCAAAATCCCGTTTCTACCGACAAGAAACTTGCCTATTTTACAGTTGTTACAAAGGATGATAGATGTCTTAGTCCATGTTCAAGTACAGGTAGCGATTATGCAGCTTTGTCTTGGGCATCACCATGTTCTAGTCCTCGATCGTTAGGCAACTAAACCAAAGTGTATTCAGATTCTGTCGATTATTCGCCAGTTTGCAGTGAAGCGGATGACACGGAATATCAGTTAAATACAAATAAAGCTGAAGGATCTGTAGAAATAGATTCACATTCTGAATATAGGCAAGATGAAGAAAACGAGCGACTTCAAAGAACTTTGCCAGAATATAGTACAAATAGATTAAAAGTAAGTCTGATATTCGAAATAACAAGACTAGTCAGATCGTTTATCAAAATCTGCCTACCTATAGCTCAGTTTAAAAGTAAACCTAATAGAAGGTATTATGATATTTATTGATCTTTTTGAACATCACAGTACAATATAAAGAAAAGGTAAGTAAATACATTAAAATATTGTTATTACAAATAATAATTTTAAATTACAATCATTAAATTGAAAAACAATTTTATAAATATTAAGTAAAACGTAACAATATATATTGTGATGTTTATTTATATTAATATTTATTACACTATGTATATGTATAACACTATTTTTTTTAATAATGAACCATTTGCTCTAAAAAAAATTTTTTATATATTTATTTATTTATGAAATATACAATCATAGGTTATGTAATAACCAATTTTCTTTGTTTTTAACTAAGTTCGTAGTTTTAAATTCAATTTTAAACTGTACCTTTGTTTTTTTTAGCACTATTTACTGTCCTCCATTAGTCCATAGAAAGAGTAAACTAAATATTTACTCTGGTCTCGATTCGGTGTTACCTGCTTCCTTCTAAAGCATATATACTACTCGCCATGAAGATTGTCCATCCAAAATTCGTTGTCTTGACAACAAATTCAATAGGCTGGTAGGTTTTTTTTATTCACTAATTTTTTTAAATTATTTAACTTTACTTACATAACTTTCTGATACTGTTAAGTAACAATATAGATGACTAACTTATACTTATCACTATAATTTGGTTAATTAAAATCGGTTTCATTATTTTACTAAATTTTACTTTTTTTCTAGGATATATTTTGTACATGGATGCTTTCAAAAAATTTCTACCCACTGCAATTGAGGCGTTCTTTGCAAAAACCCCATGTCATTTTTTCCGGAATTTTATATTATGGCACTTATGGGTATATAACGTAAGTATCTATGTCCCTTGCATGAAAAAATTCCGCAAAATCCTCAGTAGTCCAAGATATGAACGGTTAAAATATCGATTATTCTGCATAAACCCCATATGTCAGCAGCAGTTTTCATCGAAAACCACATATGTCAGTGACTAATGGTGTTTTTGTGGAAAATGATTCGTTGAGCTGTCACTAATAATTAAAACTTTAGGTTTTATAGGTTAGCGTTTAGTTGTGTGATTTTACTCGAAGAATAAATACTGTGTGTGAACTAATAATAATAATAATAATAGTAACTAAGATGAGTAATAGTAATCCAAATAATATAAATAGTGAATTTAAAAGACAAGATCCAAGTGAAAATGTGCCTTTAAAAAAGAAAAGGAAATTGTTAAAGCGAACAGAGATAAAACAGGCAAGAGTAAAAGGTCAGCAATATGTAAACTACAGAGGCGTTGGAAAATCAAAAGCACGACTGGGTCCGAATTGCAAGTAAGTTAATATAGTTAAGTTTAAAGTTTGTGTAAAGTATTTAATTAAAAAATATTTTAGTTGTTCCCGGTTCAAATATTATTTCAAAATTTCTGACGAAGATAAACCTAGGATTTTCGACCACTTCTATTCTTTGGAAAATAAAAATGAGCAAGATAGTTATCTGGCAGGTATACGTGATTTAATTAAATGTAAAAAACCCGAATATTAACGAAATATATTTTATTTATCTAGGGTTGATATCGTATCACATTCCAAAACAAAGACGGAGTCGAAAGAATATTCAGCCAAGAGATGTTTTGCTGACTGAATCAGAAGATGAAGAATTAAATCAAAATGATGGGCCGCAAGTTCTCAATGGGCAACACGTTGCTGCATATTGTTATAAAATAAGGTTGAGAAAAAAGAAGAACCAGTGTGTCTGAAGGCTTTTTGCGGTTTTCATTGGAGTTACCTATGACAGGATTCGAAGACTACAAAGATTTGTGTTTTATACTGGCGCGTCCCCCAAAGGATAAACGTGGCAAACATTCAAATAGGCCAAATAAGGCAGCATAACGTCGCCGGGCTGCGAATACCTTCAATGTAACAAAAATATGTGAAATGTGCTAAATGCACATTGCATATCATATGACCATTCCTCAATAGTTAGTAATACATCCGAAGTGAATTTAAATCGCCAACCTTTCAAAAAAACCAAAACAAATTTCTCCAATGTACCACAATTTAGATATTAGGATGGAGAATAATCCTATGTGAAAATAATCACATAGGAGCTATTTAATTTATCTGGAAATATCTCCCATGTGGTTATATTAGATTTATAATACAACATTGGAGATATTTCTGTATGACATTTGATACACTTAAGAGATTTTACAACTAAAATGTCAAATTTCTAACCTCACTTTTAAACATTTCATTTCAAATAAACTGAGCGAGAAGTGTGTTTATTTTGCTAAAATGTTTTCGGCTAGAACTAATAAGATTTTGCTGAATGCCAGCAATATCAATAATAATAATAAAATTGAGATTAACAAGGAAAATAAAGAGAATGAATCTGATTTCACAATCATCGAAAATTATCGAACTTTGGAAGATGGAACTTTACTTATGGAAACTGTTATCTCTGAAGATACAGTCAGTAGGCACGTTTTCAACTAGGTATTTTTTGTTCATTTTGACAATTTTATTTTCTCGAATTTTTAGTGAAAAATATTGTAAAGATGAAAATATGAAAAATTCTGTATCGCAAACAGAATCAAGAAAAGAAATAAGCGAATGTTGCATTGAAGGCATAGAAACGGAAATTATTACAATACTACAATTAGAAAGTGAAAAGACGTTACAAGAACTAAACATAACCCAAAACGATGTTCTAAATTTGAATCAAAATAATGTACTTACACAAGACATTGAAGACAAGCCAGATAGTGAACAAATGATAGAATCAGGAAACATACATGATAATGTGGAAGAAGTGCACGAAATTATAACATATGAGATGGATGAAGAAATGAACGATGAGGAATTAGTGCAAGAAGATTTGGATGCTATAGAGATAGAAAAGTTGCAGAAAAAAGAAAATGTTACAAAGAAAAGAAGTGAAACCGCATTACGGAGATTACATGGAAAATCGTATGTTGGCTATAAAAGAAGCAAGGACAAAGTTATAACACACGATTGCAAGAGGGAAGGAAGAAAAATGAGAGAAAGGTGTAAGCATACGAATCAGAAAGACAAATTGCATGAAAATTCGTTTAGATGTCATCTCATTTCTGAAAACGATAGAAAAACTATATTCAAAAATTACTGGAAATTATCTTCATGGAATGAAAAGAGAATTTATGTTAAAGGTCTTGTTGGAACAAGACACGTGAAACGTAGACGAAAATATGTTCGTGAAAGGGACGGTGAGGAAGTTTTAAAGAAAAGTGTGGGTCATGATTATTTTTTAGTAACAGTAAGTGGACAACGTCTAAAAGTTTGTAGAGTACTATTTTTAAATACGCTCAGTCTAGGGGAAGATACGTTGAAACGTTGGACTAAGCCAGATGTTCATAGTAACACATCTGCATCAGATGAGAGTATAATATTTAGTCCAAAGAGAAAGCTAGAAGAAAATCCTAACCTATCAGTTACAAAAAAAGCACGGTTGGCTAGAGAAATCAGAAAAAAAGAAAGAGAAGATTCTGTGAAACTATGGCTTGATGAAATACCCAAAGTTCCTTCTCATTACTGCAGGGCAACTTCAAAAATGAAGTATGTGGATAATGCTTTTATATCTAAGCAAAACATGTTCAAAATTTACAAAGAATGGTGTAGAGAAAAAGATAAAATACCTGATAATCTGAAACTATTTAAATTTGTTTTGAAATTAGAGAAAATTTCTGTTCATAAACCCCGTAAAGATCAGTGCGACACATGCGTTGGATTTAAAGTTGGAACTGTTTCTCAAAATGAATATGACCAACATCGAAATAAAGAAAAGGCAGGTAGAGTAGCAAAACAAAAAATGAAAGAAAGGACAAAGGAGCATCCTGACACGTTAGTTGTCACTTTGGATCTGCAGAGTGTCCTGACATGTCCGAAAGTATTAGCATCTCAGTCCTATTATAAAATGAAATTACAACTCCACAATTTTACGATATATGCACTGAATGACAAAAACGTCTCCTTATATGTATGGCACGAAGCTAGTGGTGGCGTTACGTGTAATGAATTTACATCTTGTTTGATAGATTATCTAAGTAATATCCCAACTAATTTCAAATCAGTTAATTTGATATCAGACGGATGTAACTACCAAAACAGAAACAAAACTTTAGCCAGTGCGTTGAGTGATTTTGCAAAAGCGAAAGATATAACCATTCAACAACTTTACTTAGAAAAGGGTCATACAATGATGGAAGCAGATTCCGTTCACTCCACCCTGGAACACTATTTTCACCCGCCAATAAACTCACCTACTGATTATATAGCGAGAATGCGTATGGCTCGTCACAAACAACCATATTGCATTAAATCATTAGACTACAAGTTTTTCAAACAATGCGAACTTGCAAGTAACTTTCGTTCAATTGGACCAGGCACAAAAACCGGTGATCTTGTGGTCGTTGATATAAGACAATTAAAATATTCACCTAGTGGAGAGGTGTGGTTTACGTTGGACTACTCTGAAGAGTGGCAAATATTGCCACATAAACGTGACTGTCAGGACATGTCAGTTTACAAAGCACCCCTGTTCAAGGAACAACCTGCAATATCTTATGAAAAGTATCAACATCTCCAAGAAATGAAGACAGTAATTGAGGTCGACCATCACTCATTTTATGACTTGCTACCCCACGAGAAGAAGAAAAATAAAAAATAAGATACACTATAATATTGTTCCAAAAGTTAACGTTTATTTTATAT